GGAGCGCGCCCCGCGTTACAACGGGCGCGTTATAGTGTGAACGCGCGTTGAGTGAGGACTTACCGTATTTATATATGGAGATACAGTGGTACCTCGGTTAAGGATATCAATTGGTTACATGAAAACCATCGTTATTTGAAGTAATCGTTAATGGAATACTGCATCGGAAATGCATGTTAAAGGCTTAATTTGTTCCAAGACGATCAGTAATTGACCTTTTTCACCCTAAAAACATAGTTTATCATATTTAAATTTTGAGTAAAAAAACCCCGACTAAGTATTCAAGAGAGCTGTTTCCATAAGCAACGTCAACCTAAAACATTGAAGGGTGTGCAGCCGATTGCTCTCGGACCGCTCATGGAAGGGCTGGTCGCTCATTGTCTCAAGTCTGCTGCCGAACCCACTTCGGAGTGCTCCGATTGGCCGAAATTGGCGGGTCCACGTGTGAGATCGTAAACCACACATCGTTCATCGAACATTCATCGTTAATAGAAACAACGGGACCCTATGGGAGGCGGATCGTTAATCGAAATACAGTAGATAATCGATTATCAACAAAAAGTAGATAATCGATTATCAACATATAGTAGATAATTGATTATCAACATACAGTAGATCATCGATTATCAACATACATTTTGATTTAAAGCTTTCATGACTGCAGGGATTCATATTATTGGTTCTTTCGGTAAAGTCACGTAGAAGGGAAATAATAAAATAATAATAACAAAAAATACTAATATTAAACAATCAACTATAAAACAACATTTTATTGTTTTATATTTTAATTAGTTTATTATTTCCCTTCTACGTGACTTTACCGAAAGAACCAAGAATATCAACATACAGTAAATCATCGATTATCTAGCGGCTTCGGTGGGGGGGGGTGGCACCAAATTTACAAAAACGCTGGATAATCATTAATCATCATTATTTAAAATAGTTTATTTTTGCACATTCTTGACTGACATTATTATTTGCAGGTGTTGTTACATGGTTTTTTGTTAGTGTTTTAAATTTGTTTATTATATGAAATTCGCATAAATAAACATACAAATGGTCAAAAATAAATATCCTTTAAAAAGTTACTGTACCGTACTTACCACTCCGAATGGGGTGGTGTATAGACGTGCACTATTTTCATTGTTGAAGTTGTATGTAGTGTATAATGTACCGTATAGATTATTTAACGCGAAGATCAAGCGTCGTTTGTCACGCTACACGGTGCCCATCGCCGGGCTGGTCACAGCCTTTGGAGCGGTGTTGCCGATGTCGCCAGATCGGCCCGGGACTACAGCCGGATAATGTTGGAAGCAGCCGAATAATCGCGCGGTGCCGGATATAATCCATGGACAACTCTACCGTTAACCGATGGCATCGTAAACTGAGGTTACCACTCTACGACGCGGCGGGGGGGGCTCCTGATGGCTCCACACAGTGGCCGTGGAGTTGTCCTCCTCACACTGTACAACCACCTCCAAACAGATGGCGCGGGCGAGGCCCCCCGTGGCACGGCTAATTCCGGGCTCTTGCTCCCACCACACGCGGCCAACTTCGCTGGCCGCTCGCGCAGACGACCGACAGACCGACCGACAGACCGACCGACAGACCGACCGACGCGGGCCACGTCGTGCGCGACCGCGCCGCGTGAGCTCGAGTCACGTGCAGCAGCAGCAGCAGCGGCAGCAGCAGCCAGTGTGCAGCAGCAGCCAGTGTGCTGCAGCAGCCAGTGTGCAGCAGCAGCTCAGGTGCAGCAGCAGCCAGTGTGCAGCAGCCAGTGTGCAGCAGCCAGTGTGCAGCAGCAGCAGCCAGTGTGCAGCAGCAGCGGCAGCAGCAGCCAGTGTGCAGCAGCAGCCAGTGTGCGGCATTGAAGAACACAGCCGAGTGGAGAGGAGGAGAGACGTCGGTGAAGCCCCCCCCCCCCCCACCTGCGTGCAACGAGCAGCAGAAGAACGGCGACGGTTTTAGAACGCGCTTTGTGCGGGCAGAACAAACAATTGGACGTGACATTTCGGCTCACAGAGAGAGAGGGGGGGCTTTATTGACGGCATTGTTGAGTTGGGCGGAGGGGTGGTTGGGTTTGTTGTTGATGCATCCAAACTTTTGCGTAACTGTGTCTTGTGACGAGGGGACACTTCATCTTGGGGATGTATTTTTTTAGACACGAAACTGGTCGTGTTGCAGCGAAAGCTACGGTGAAGAACGAGGGCTTTTAGAAATAATCCACTGACCGACTCCCAATGGAATCCTTCAGTCAACGCAGTGGTAACAGACCACTTAAGTAAACAGGCCCGTGGAAGCAGATGGTTACAGAACTACTTCGGAGACGTTTTACAGTGAAAGCAACGTGGACCACTCCGTAAACGTGAGACGTTGGCATGTTTTTGCTGGGCAGGAGGACCTCAGTGGATTAACTCGACTTCGGCTCGTGCCTTCACTTCATTGGCCACCTGCACTGTAGATCTCCCTGCTGAAGGCGGTCGCAGAGTCCGCTTCGGTTGGGATCCGCAGCGTCGTTCCACCCCCGAAAGACATGTTTCTTTCAGAAGGCGTTTCCAGCCCCAACCCCCATTGGCTTTGATGTCAAGTACCTTGAGATTCCATGAAAGGCACTGTACAAGCTATTATTATTATTACGCAGATTTTAAAAACGTCTGCTTTTCATCCACGCAGGTGAGAAAAGTTTCGTCAATCCGCTGCTGGATGAGAGCCTCCCCACACCGTGAGGAGGTCGTGGGGGGTTGTTTGACCATACTTCACCACGTCCGATCTCATCGAATCTCAGGAGCAAGCAGGTTTGAGCCTGGTTAGTAGTCGAACTGCCTTGGAATACCAGGTGTTGTAAGGTTCCCACGAGATTGAGCTCCAAGTGTTATCGAATGCCTGGCGAGTTTTCTCCAGGTGCTTCTGTTTCCTTCCATGTGAAGAGAAACAATAATTACACAGAAATTGGCCAAACTTCCCAAATCCAAGACCCTCTTTAAACATAGCCATGAGACACTGTCAGCCTTTTTCAGGTAAATAAAGGACATCGCGTGCATTATAAAATAGAGGTCGGTGTTATTATACCGTCTGGTCTTGCGTAAATCACGTTTCTTAAAACTGGTATAATTGTTGCGCGTGGTACCAATTTACCAAACCCATTTTAATTGCATCAATCGCTTTTATATAATAATAATAATAATAAGGACTAATTAGGGAGCCAGTTTTTTGTGTGATGTTTGCGCAGTGGAAATGTGTACAGACCTCTAACAATCCACTGCTGGATGAAGGCTCCGACAACAATGCCCTTCGTTGTTTGGTTCACAATACTTCACACCACTGGCAGTGGTGGTTGGTGGAGGGACCGCCTGACACTGGTTTATACTTGCCACTGATGTAGGCCGTGCCTGGGAATCAAACTTGGGTTGCTGGGCTCATCGGGGCAATGCGCTGAACACCCAGTGAACTGCCTCTCCACCCCCTTGGCACGAAATATAAATTAGCATTTATATTATAACAAAGTGACAGCCAATGGTAACAAATTGTGAGAAGAGCTGGTACAGCAAGTACACATCTAATTCCAAGTTAGATGAAAAAACAGATAATGAAATTGAATCTAACAATGAAAAACATAAAAGGTAAAAAAAACTCGATTATTTGAACATGAAATATTTGATTAATTCAATTACATTTCAGTTCAAGTGTTTAAACAGCAGGGACTAAATGAAAGGACATAATACTATCCCTTATTTTTTTTTTACTATTCAGAATAAATCAATGTCTTTGAAAGATGAATACAAACAAATTAAATACGTTTTCTGACTGGCGAATTAGTCCTAATCCATATGGCCTTTAACAATACAATGTATCTTTAAAACACGCAGCCTTTCGAGACCAATATTATCCGTAATACAGGTTTTTTTTTTAGATCGCGTAAATATATAAATGTGTCATTAAACCCGCCGCCACCCGACACAGCCAATTAGCAACGAATTGGCCACGTTCTGTTTACGTGGCAAACATTACTAGTTGGCTTTTTATATATTTAGGCGATCTAAAAAAAGAATACCTGTCTTCTTGGTTCTGACTCTGACTCAGACTCTGTCTTCTCGACAGACCTGTTCTCCACCTGAGGACGGCTGCTTGCGTTGTGGCCGAAACGTCGTGAGAATTATTTTATTATGTTTTATTTTTATCAATTTATTATTTCCATTCTACGTAACTTTACCGAAAGAACCAAGAAGATAAATCCCTGCAGTCACGAAAGCTTTAAATCGAAAAATACCTGTATTATGACTACAAGGTATCATCATATGTTTTATGGTAACATATCATTATGATAATATGTGATTGTATTTAGTAAGACAATGTTATTAAACTACACTATTCAATGAACAAATGTCATTAGCTGTGCTGGGTGGAGTGTTACAATGCAGGATTGTGAGAGATGGCGATGGTTTGGGTAGGCCTTCATCCAGCAGAGGATATATCATGGCTGCTGATGATGATGCTGCTGCTGCTGATGATGATGCTGCTGCTGATGATGATGATGCTGCTGCTGATGATGATGATGCTGAAATCCAATAACATTTGGCTCTACAATTGCGTTCTTCTACAACTCAGCAAGGTCTCATAACTAGAGTTGGCACCCGTCCCGATTTTCCCAGAATCGTTTCGTACGTGTTTCTTTCGGAAGAAGCTGTCTATAAGAATGTCTATCTTCAGCAACGTAAAAAAAGTTCCAGTTTTGTTTTTATCATTCCGTTGTATAACAAACAATGTAAAGGCGACGATGCCTTTACAATGGCGGTAGTGCTGTCCTCTTGAGATACGGTATTCCTCGTTCACCCTAATCACAATACGCTTCGGTTTATTTCGTACCGCGGAGGTGGCAACCCCATAAACTCGAGACCGCTTCACGCATTCATTGGCTGCCGGCTTTGTGAGCGAGCCTGTGGGGCCACTCCCCACGCCGTATAAAGTGGAAGCTCCTGCGGCAGAAATAGCAGTGTCACCCGGCCCCTCGCTGGGGAGAGAAGTCAGCGGCAAGGAGCACTCACTCACTGACACCAGCGAGCCAGCCAGCCGGCCGGTCATTTAATCAGTCCGTCAAGTCAATGCTCTTCACTCTGGAAGTGTACACTTACAGCCGAGTGTCGCCTGGCTCAAAAAGATGCACGCGCGTGTAAATGTGTTACGTAAATAAAAGCCACTGTTAAAAAAAACTACTACCGGCGATGCCAAATGAGTGAGTGGGGAGTTTTGGACAGTACCCTATGACAGACATGGTGGCACAGGATTACCACTTGGAGTTCATCTCTCCGGAGAAGAGCCACGGCCAGCCACAGAAGAAGAGCCTCATGGCGCTGCCTGCGAATGAACCGGAGGTGAGTGGAGTTGGGCTTGTCGAGGTCTGCGCGCGCGTTCACACGAATCGTCTCTGTCCATCTCAATCGCACTTTCACGGGAGAGAGAGGTCGCTATAGAAAAATGTAGAAGGGGCAGGTGCAGCCATAAAAAAGAGAAACCCTCTTGGTAGTGAAGTGTCCTTTCAGAACACTGACAGATTAACGAATGACCAACCCTGTGTTTTTAGAAACGGGCCCGTGGAAGCGGATATATGTGTGTATGTACGCACGGTTACTATGTGTGTAGTATGTTGAACTTCTTTCGCACCGTACGTAGCCAACCGTGCTAATTAGAGGTGCCAGGGTAAGGACAACAAACTAAAACAAGCAGTCCTAAAAAAATTCGTTTTCAATTTAAGGATGTCACAGAGCTACTTCCGAGATGAGTGTTGATGATGAATGCTGTGCTATTCATATCACATGTGTATATTTGGTTCTGCGTATACAGTAACACGGCTGTCACCCCCTCCCCCTCTTCCAACATGGATTAATTAATTTAATCATTCATAACCGCACTCTGCTATGAACCCGGCCACTCAAGTTAAATTCCTGACCACGGCTAACATCGGTGGCGAGTGGTATCTGAACCGATCCTGAGCCTCACCTCCAATTGACACTGAGCGGGCGTGGGGAAGTATGGTCAAACAACCGCCACGAACCCGCATCACATTAGAGGGGGGGGGGGCTCATCCAGCAGTGTATTCAGAACGGACTGCCGTGAGTCATTAACCGTATTGCAGTCGTATTGAAGTGGCCAAGTAGGGTGCGTACAGCGCTGAATGTTCTGTGATGAGGTGGCACGGCGGTGCGAGAAGCGTTGCGAGTGTGTATTTTGTTGAACCAGGTGAGAACTTAGAAGGGAGCAGGGTAGAGTCTTCATTGGCAGTGTGACCGTGGGGGTGCTTTGCGTGAGCAAGTGGGTGCCTATCTGAAATGAGGTAATGAGCTTCCTGGGACAGAGCTGTGAGTGGACGTGTTATCCACAGGAAGTTGTCGTCAGCCTTATCCCACAGATTACCAACTCCCTCCTTGAATGGCGAGATGTTAACTACCTCGCCTAGTATGCAGGAGGTCGTGGGATCGGTCCCGACCCTGACGCCTGCTGTATATTTGGAGCTTGCGTGTTCTCCCCGTGGTCGTGTGGATTTTTCTCCGGGTCCTCTGGGGTTTCCCTCCACATTTAGAAACGCGCGTTGAGAGTATTTTACTGCTTTAAATGTCAACTTGATTAGCCGCTTAGTTGAGCTATCAATTTGTGGCCAGGTCGCTCCTGAAAAAGAGCTATATAGCTCAGTTGGGCCTTACCTGGTAAAAAAAAAATATTAGTTAATCCGCAACTGTCTACTGTTTGCACAAGATATAATTAATTGTTTGCAACCGTCGTATATTTTATCTGTGATATGTTTAAAGTTTCGTTTCAAAAGGTAATAATGCAGTTGTCGTCTGATGCTCGGCTCTGTTTAGCGAGTGTCACTGTCGGTTGAAGACATTGACAACGTGGACCGATATCTCTTCAGGGCATGCTCTCGCGACGAGCTCGTTGGAGAGTGAAGTTTCACGAGTTTCCTTGGGTGGACATTAGTGTGCCAGTGAGGGTGGCGATGGTTGTGATGTGGAGAGAATCCGCCATCGATTCATCATTTGCGGGGTGGGGTCATTTTCCATTTTGGCAAATGTTGGACCCTGTCGCCGGCGCACGGAGGGACCTCACTCTCGTGAACGACGTCAGGGGGGGTCTTTAACGTCCACTGTGCGTTAAGCAGACGGTGTGTTGTTATTAATAATACACCGCGGTATTAATCGGGGCGGCCGCTGGATTCGAACCGTGACCCTCCGCGACAACGAGCGGGTGAACGCGCGTCCCGTGTCTCCCGGATGTGATTTTTTTCGGGAATCGAATTTTTTTCCTGCCTGAAGAAGCTCTCGGCACGTGGAAGCAAAACGTCGGACGTCGTGGTAAATAAACCCGAACACACATTGGAGAGCCAGCTTGCCTCGTGGTGGGAGAGCAGATTATGGTTACCAGCAATGCCATTGAACGTTCTGTACAGCGCAGTCTTGAGTCTCTGTCAAATAGTCATGAAGGCATGGGTGCTCACCTGTTTACAGCCATACAGAGACAGTGGTGGAAATTCCACATTCCTATGGTGGAGGATAGTCCGCTGTTGACTTCCCACACAAAGTGGTAGCTACGTTATCAGCCCTTGAGAAACGATGGGCTGAGTCAACCGGTAGCCAGAATTGGAGCGTGCAACCTTTCCACAACGCACCAGGGGCCGTAACGATTCTCCCGCCCCCAGCCCCCCCCCCCTCCCCCACACGATTCAACCAATAGCCCCGATTCAGGGTTGTGACGTGCTTCAAGAATTATTTTAAACATTTGATCCACTCGAAGGGTTTTTCAGAAGAAGTTTTGTCGAAACTCGATTGCACCGTCATTCTCGGACGGAGAATTGTGATATTTCCAAATGGATTCTTTGGTTACGTGGCATTATAAAATCAATGAGTGCACCGCGATGCTGGCTGACATCGTGCCAGCAATAACGTTTGGGCATGGAATATAACCCAATGTTTTTTTCCCTTTCACACGTGTGTTTCACACAGTGGTGTGAACGTAGCACCCTTAGGTGTGGCCGGCGGCGGGATTACACACACGAGCCAATTAGAGACAGCATATACGAATCGAAAAACAACACATCTTGTACAGGAGACTCAACGACACGCATTGCGAGCGCGACACTCGACAATATCTACGCATTTACAGGTGCGTCGTCAAATAAACATAAATACAAATACCGAGGGAGGGGAGGTGGCACGGTGGGTAGCATGCTGCGCTACAAACCCGACAGTATCATTGGCGTGTCATATCTGAACTTAGTTTTACCACCACTCCCCAGACTTCACGAACCGGCACTGACCGGCGCGGTGAAGTATGGTAAAAACAATCCCCGTGACCGACACGGCATTGGGGAGGCCCCTCGTCCAGCATTCTATTGGCAAGAGGACTGTACATTATCTTTGTTGCTATACACGCACAAACAGGAGCCATACAAATTTGTGTTAAAGGTCTCCGGAGTAAAATCTGCAGACCAATTTGCTGCTCGTGTAAATGCCAAGTTTTTTCTCCCCGAACTCAATACAATTGCCTCTGTATACGGCCAGCGTGTGTGGGTGTGCTGGGGAGTTTGGAGGACATCGGAGCATTCACACGCACAAGATAAGTACAAGACCCCCCCCCCCCACCACATGTAGCCTGAACAGACTGTTGGGGCACGTGGGGTGGGTGGTAAGCACCACGTCCGGTCGCCTTTGTCTCCCGAGTGGCGACGTTTACACACCGCACCTGGTACTCATTTGAGGCCGAGTCGACCTAGAGAAGGCCCAGGACCGGTTCAGATAATCGTCACTGGAGTTGGCCGTGAGCGGGAATCGAACTCGGGTCCGTCGGGTTCGTAGCACAGCGCGCTCACTACTGCCCCACTGCCCCACTGCCCCCCCCACACAAAAATAAAGATCGCCCAGTATAACCTTTACCAGACTATTGGGACAAGTGTTGTTAGCGAGCACCTGTGAACGCCGGCACGGCACGCGCATCTCTTCACACACACGCACGCACGTGTTGTTCATTCTGCTCCCGCAGAAGATGAGACGGAATGAGAGGTTCCTCTTCTGCGTTGGGCTTCCCCGCTGCTTCACCAACAGCCACTCCACAAGCTGCCCCTGCCCGCGCACCGTCCACTCGAGGGGGGCGGGGGGCATTGCTTTACCTCCCAAACATCGCTAGCGTTTCACCACTGCGGAGTGGTTTTTTTCCTTCGCGTGGCCATCGACTCCTGCGAAGCGCTCCTCCCGCCTGCGTTTTTCGCGTCGTTCGACGTTTTTCGCGTCGTTCGACGTTTTTGTCCGACGTTTCGCTACCACGGGGAACAAAACGACGCCGCCGGGCATCGTGCCGAACGACACGAGCGGTGCGATCCGGAGCCGCATGGTCCGTGGGCCAGGGCAGAAATCGCCGATGTATTGACACGGCTCGTAATGGTGAATTGCTCGACAGCCGCTCTCGTCCCGGGTGGTTATCGCATGCTTCACTGCTGCTGTTGTTGTTATCCACGTGAATACATTTGAGGGATGCCACTCAAGGTGCTGCTGACAAGTGAGATGTCTGGTCTGCGCTCGTGGACTACCACCGGTTACATTCTTGTAGCGACCGCTTGCCACTTAAATAGAGAATTGCGGCGACGTACTTTAGTTTTATTTTTTTATGACCAGGTGAGAGTTTATTGAGATTAAAAGTGGGGTGTTTTTTGTTGTTGCAAGGGAGAACCTCTCTTGGTAACAATACAAGAGACCGAGATCGTAAATAAACGTGAGAGACGGTGATGGCTTGGGAAAATCATCTAACAGTGGATTGATCATGGCTGACGATGACGACGATGATCATAAAAAAGACAAAAAATATGGTGAAGAATAAACGAGGCGTGAGGCAACGATGAAGAAAATCATTTCGAGCGATGAACACGGTTTTATCAATAGACGGCCCACTGGGGATGCAACACGTCTGTTGGAAAACACGTCCAGTGGAGAAAAGAAAAAAAAACCGAGAGAAAATCTGCTGCGGGAGCTGCACACAGTGCCAGGTCGCAAGAGAACAAGTCAAGAAACCTCAATATGGCGAAACAACTTTGGGAGCACTCCCAGTGAACAACCATTTCCAAATCGTTTTTTTCTTCCATAAATACCCCTCCATGGTTGGTTGCCTTCTTGTGTAACAGAGAGAGAAGCCAACTGATATGTATCGAAATGTCGCGCTGGACTGCGTGTGTGTAACAATGTAGCGGAGTTAAACAAATTGACGGACCGACCATACTTGCCGAGCCCGCGCTGACTGATCAGAGTGGTGAAGTATGGTCAAATAATCCACGTGACCGACACGGGCGTGTGCGAAGGCCCTCGTACATTGACAAAGGGCTGTAGCACTA